GTAGCGACTATCTGATTTCACCCACATAGTTTTTATTGGGGGCATTTAAAGCACCGGATGAGGCACACCACATGTTGTGACAGGTATGTATAAGACCCATGGATCATGAAACATGTGTTGTGGGGATCATTGATCATTCTAGCAGTGGAGATATGTCCGTAGGAGCAACAGATGCAAAACCCACCGAACACCTGCAATATACCTTCACAAGGCAAACGTGTGAGCTTAAATTCATAACTTTGTCAAACACTAAAAATCATGGTCTTAAGACACTGGATTTATGGCCATTACAACAATCTGTAACCCAAAAACAACAAGGAATCTGGTGGCCCTTAAAGACTAACAGATTTATTTGAGCACAAGCTTTCGTGGGTAAAAAACCACTTCTTCAGATGCATGGAGTGAAAATTACAAATGTAGGCATTATATACTGACACATGAAGAGAAGGGAGTTACCTCACAAGTGGAGAACCAGTGTTGACAGGGCCAATTCGATCAGAGTGGATGTAGTCCACTCCCCATAATTGATGAGGAGGTGTCAATTCCAGGAGAGGCAAAGCTGCTTTTGTAGTGAGCCAGCCACTCCCAGTCCCTATTCAAACCCAAATTAATGATGTTAAATTTGCAAATGAATTTTAGTTCTGAAGTTTCTCTTTGAAGTCTGTTTCTGAAGTTTTTTTGTTCAAGTATGGCGACTTTTAAATCTGTTATGGAATGTCCAGGAAGATTGAAGTGTTTTCCTACTGGCTTTTATATGTTACCATTCCTGATGTCCGATTTGTGTCCATTTATTCTTTTACATAGAAATCTGTAACCCACTAACCTCCGTTTTTGTCCTATAACTACAGGGGTGTTAATGGGCCACTTCACCTTGAATAGTCCCTTAGGTATGTGTTAACTACTTATGCTAAACAGTCTGTTCCACCTCTGAGTGCCTTTTCCAGACCTGAAGAAGAGCTCTGTGTAGCTCAAAAGCTTGTCGCTTTCACCAACAGAAGTTGGTCCAATAAAAGATATTACCTCACCCTCCACCTTGTCTCACATAAAGACTTTGCCATTGTCAATAAGATGTTCCTTTCTTCAGGAAGGAGGGGTTGAAAAGCCCTAATGTATCTTCAGTCTAATCATTGCCCCATGCTGCTGATCAGATCGGGGACTGTGTGCCAGACACACAAGGCCAAGGGGGAATGTAATCAATCCAGTTGCTTTCATGCACAAAAGCAGAGAGATTGCATTTGGCACTTGCTTCTGGCTGGCACTGCTACTGTTTTATGTGGGATATGTTCCCTGTACACATTCCCCTCCAGGCCTAAGAGTTTCATGTCGTTATACGGTAAAGACCATAAGAAGCTTTATCTGATTAAGGAGCTGAAGTCTCTTATGTAAGGATGAGTGAGTGGAGCTTCTCCTTCCCCTAGGTAACCTTACCAAAGCACTCACCTGGCACCCCTCACCCCAAGTTACTAACCTGTGCTTGGAGGTCAGTGAATACCACATAGAGGGGGATGTGTGTCAGGCTCACAGAGCTCTTTACCCTAGATCCTGTTTACAGACACAGATAAGTTTATTAGTAAATAGTGTCAGGGAGCCTGGGCTGTCTGAGGATAGCCCCAGGTCCAGCTAATTCCAAGACTCCTTAGAGCAGGAGTGGGCAAAGTACGGCAAACCACGCAGCCCAGCCCCGCTCCGGTGCTCCGGCCGGGGTGCAGGGTCTGGGGCCACACCACGGAGCTTGGCCCTGCTCCAGCTGGGTCGGGGGCCGCACCACACGGCTTGGTCCCGCTCCAGCTGGGGCGCTGGGTTGGGGGCCGCACCACACTGCTTGGCCTCGCTACGGCGCTCCAACTGGGGCACAGAGTCGGGGGCTGCACCACGCAGCTCCCAGAAACCACGGAACGGACCCGCTCTGGCTCCTATGTGCTCCAATGGGAGCTGCAGGGGTGGTGCCTGCGGATGGAGTAGCATGCAGAGCCGCCTGGCTGCACCTCTGCATAGGAGCCGGAGAAGGGACATGCCACTGCTTCCAGGAGCTGCTTGAGGTAAGTGCCGCTCGGAGCCTGCACCTCTGAGCCTCTCCCCACGTCCCAACTCCCTGCTCCAGCCCTGATCCCTGCCGCTCTCCAAACCCCTCGATCCCAGCCCGGAGCACCCTCCTGCACCCCAAAGCTCTCATCCCAAGCTCCACCCCTGAGCCTGCACCCCCTCCCGCATCCCCACGCCAATTTTGCGAGCATTCATGGCCCTCCATACAATTTCTATTTCCCGATCTGGCCCTCGGGCCAAAACGTTTGCCCACCCCTGCCTTAAGTTGAGGTCCTTTACATGTCCCCACTCCACACACCCATGACCCCCAGCTTGTTCCACAAGCCCCAGATCAATGAACACAAACATCATAACAACAGCATTTTTGCCAGTATACATAACCTGACACTGATGGATTTGTACTGCTCCCTACACCCCACAACTGCTGGGGAGAAGGAAACCTCACGACTTCCTCAGCCACCTGGGCTGCCCTGAAATAGGGGCAGGGGCAAAGGGTAGAAACCCTGCTTGAGGCACCAGCCCTCAGCATGCCCCAGGATGGGGCAGGGAGGGGATGGGAAGAGCCTCGGGCTGAGACAGAAGCTGGGGGGGTAGGAGGTCTAGGCCTGCAGTGAGGGGCAGGATAACAAGAGGGGGGACGGACATAGCGGGTTCAGGACTGGGGTGAGGAGCAGAGTAAGAAGCCAGGGGATGAGGGGAGAAGGAATCCAGGGCTAGCCTGAGGGGAAGGGTAAGAAGCCGTGGGGGGCGGATGGGGGAGAAGGAATCCAGGGCTGCGGTGAGGCGCCGGGCGGGGTAAGAAGTTGGGGAAGGGGGAAAAGGAATACAGAGGGAGGTGAGGGGTGGAGTAAGAAGTCGTGAGAGGAAGGGGGGTTCAGGCCTGCAGTGAGGGGCAGGGTAAGAAGCCGGGGAGGATGGGGGGGAAAGGAATCCAGGGCTGTGGTGAGGGG